AGCACGGGGCAGGAGGAGCTCATTCCTACATCTCAAAACCGAAGCGCTCACACCACTGAGTCTAAGGGAGCTGTTTCCTGCCCAGCCTCTTCTCCAGACATTGCCCGTAAGAGATTTGGAGCTGAATAAGGAGTATTTCTATGTGCTCGGGACAAGGAAGTGCAGACGGCCCACACGGTCAGAGACAAGGATGCAATAACGTACCAGCAAACATCATCATATGCTGTAAATTTGTTCCGATCTTATTTCTTCTCCCCAAATTCAGTAAAAATGACAGTGGATAAATATTGGCAGCTCTTCCTAGGAAGATAGCAAGCTGTATTTGCACATGTTAAGGAAATAGCTCTTCCTCTGTCTCCCATGGCATCCCACCTCTGCACGTAGAGCCTATTTCTGCTGCCTGAAAGAAATGCTGGGGAGCCCCAGAAATCCCAATCCTTTGGTTGCAAAGATAATAACCCAGCTCGAAGTGCTACAGCACAAATAAACATGGGAAATTATAAGAGGGCAGGTTAAATGAGGGAGAGGAGAGAAAACCCACCATTTCCCATGGTAGGCTCTCCCCTGCCGGGTCCGTTTTCCACCCCAAGAATTATTTGTCCTCTGCGAAGCTCAAGTTATCGCAGCTACCACAGCCCCTCTGACATTCCCTGGCATGCCACACTTCACAGCTGGGTTTGAAGCTTTAAGCCAAGTCCCGCTCCCAAAGATTATTCAGCAAAATGAAAGCAGCAGCAGTTGAGAAGGAAAAAAAAAAAAATCTAATACTCTTTCTGTTTTCATAGCCTGCGAGATACAAGACTCACCAGCCCCTTCATATTGCTTTTATCTTTGAAGCTGTGTCTTTTAATACCAGCACCCAGATGGCAAAAATAATCTTGGAGCCAGTGTTCAGTGCAGCCTTGAATATGGAAAATGCTTCCAGCTTTTATGTTCTTTCCTGAACATCATGAATTTGCATAAGAGATGTATTTCATGATCTCTCGTGAATGAGCTATTTCATCAGCGAGTTAGCCAGCTCCTACTGAAGAGGCACAGCACAAAATTGCAATCTAACCACCCAAACGGCAATTCCCTGCTCTCCGATCCCTTCACCCCACGGCAGCCCTGCAAAGGCTCAGCAGCAGAGCCCGCTGCAAACCCATGTGCTAGCACTGGCAAAGACAACATTTTATTTATTGGTATAAACCTGCTTCGTTGCAAGAGGTGAAAATAATTCTGCACATCTGAACTGGCTTCCCTGTGATATGAAAAAAAAATCCTTCAAAATCCTTGTTTTTCTGAGACACACCAGGGGCAGTAGCTTGTTTCCGTTAGCATCAGCCTGCAGAAGGGGAAATCCTTTCTCATTACATCATTCAGAGGCATCTACTGTAGCTTTAACTGTGCTATTTGACCAAAACAAAAAAAAAAAGCTTTTTTTTCAGGGTCAACCAAATGCAATAGCAGAGAAAGGAGGAAATAAATGGCTATACCAGGCAGTCCCTATCTGCAGAGCCACTCCTGGTGCCACGCTGCCTCACAACAGAGCCTGGAGCTTCGGTGCCACGTTCACATTGAACACAGAGTTCCTGCACCAGCGAATTCAAATGCCCACAAAGGCAGACAAGATGGGGGAAAACCCACCCAAACAGAAAAGCTGGCAAAAGAATCTCCATCTTAAAATAACCAGCAAAGACAGCACTACACTGGAGAAACCCCCTTTTAAAAATAAAGCTAGGCTGACTGAAAAAAGCCCTACACATGCCAATGAAAAACACATCTTAGGAATGAGGCATCTCTCCCTTCCTTTTCTTCTTTTGTAAAACGGGTTCCAAAGGATACGAAAGCCCCCACCACGAAGGTAGGGTTAAAGACATGGTTCTGGAAGGTGAACAGTGCAAGTCCCATGTAGGAGAAGATGAAGTTTTCTGCCAAGAAATTCAGAAGCTCAAACAACTGCAAGAGAAAAACAAATTAAAAGAGAGTTAGACATAACATAGATTTAACAAGAAAAACACGTTAGCCCATCCATCACGCAATAAATACTTCTGTAGAAGCAACCTTAGTAAAATCCATCTGTGGAAAGGCAGATGCACCTAATCCTGGCTAAAGGGAAGGAAAAAATATTGAACTTGAAATTGAGAGAGGCTGAAGGGGGCTGAGGAGCTCTCACCTGCTTAGTTCTGTGTTGGGACTCTGTAGATAAGTTGTTATAGGTATAATGGGCCTGCGTGATCCCGCAGAAGAGCACAGCCACCACACCTGGGGAGCAGAGCACCACGTTAGACTCCTGGTCATGGGAAGGGAGCTGAGCTGCACCCCAGTAGTGTAGGGGACTTAATGCAACAACCCCAGAACCCAGAATAATTAAACTTCTGAAAGCAAAGGGAGAGGCCCAGCTGCAATCCATACTGGGAGAAGGACAACTCAACAGGCCTGTCACGCCTGCAGATCTCCGTCCCAGACGCAGGGCTGCGCTGGAGCTTGCCTGTAAAGCCACATGCTTCGGCCAGCAGGAACGTGCTCCAGGACATCAAGAAGAACAAGCCGGTCTCCAGCAACGGGAACTCCCGAAGTTTGGTGAATTTGGTGACGTTGCAGATGGTTAAGGACAATTTAGGGAGAAACTGTAGGCTAAGAGGATATCAAATCCCATTGTGTATCGCACCAACACTACACATCCTGCCCTTAAAAAGGCTGTGGCATTGCCTTTCATTAATTTAGACAAAAAATCATGAAACACTGGGTCTGGGTAAAATGCAGAGCAGACAAAAAAGAAGCTGTCATGCAAACGCTCGGAAACACCAACAAAGAGGATATTAAAGCTGTCACAACTCCAGTAGCTGCTCCCATTGCAAAAGATCCACTGAATATCCCCAGGAAGATCCCAATGGACTTGAACATTGCTGTGACATCAAACGTGTGGCTGTTGTCGCCTGCCGGCTGGTACGCAACAATGGAACTGGAAGAGGGAGGAGAGCACACACAAGAACAAAACAATCCTTAGGCTGGAGGGAGAGGTGCCTCCATGGTGCTACGTGAGCTTCGCAAAGTGCTACGACTGCTGCAGACACCAAACCTAAGAAAGTGGGGAGACAGACCCCAGCCCCACACTGCAAACCCCTCTGGAGCGCAGCATGCAGCAGCAGCGCGCCTGCCCGGTCCTGGGGAGTTTGGGATCCCCTTTGCTTGCTGCAGCTCGGCCACCCGTCCTGGGCAAGGCTCTGCATTTGCTCCTTTTAGACATCACAGAGCATCCGACCAGAGCCCGTCTCTTACAGGATCTCCTGCAAATACGTTTGCTAGGCGACAGTCCATCATTTACGATGGTATTTGGTGGGTTTGGCATCAGCTCTTTATAACTCTGGGACCACAAAGCGTTCAAGTGGGAAGCCTACATTTCTTTGTCGACTCCACAGAGGCGGCTGATGTGACATTTCTTTGTCGACTCCGCAGAGGCAGCTGATGTGAATGTCCCCTGGAGAACTCGGAGTTATGCCGTTATACCACATTTTAACATGCACTACATTTATTTTGCATTGCTCCAAGTTCGGACATGAAGTATCGCAGGGTAGCAAGGCTAATGGCACCGTGCCGGTTCACAACAGCAATGCTCCTGTCTTATCCACCAAACTCCAGCACATCTCTGTGAGACGGCAAATCAGTCTGCCACGCTGATCTCATCTCTGAATCTGCTCCCTCCCAACTCCTGATGAGCTGAGCCTTGCATCAGCCCTTCCACTGTTTTACCTGGAAAGGCTGAGATACAGGGGGACCCTTATCCTTACCCTTATCCATCTCCTAAACCCCATTTCATGTCGAGTCCCTACATCACTTTCTGTGAGGTAAACTTACCGAAAACATTAACTTCCTAGTTAGCAATCCCTTGGCTGGCTCTGTGAAAACTCTTGGATGTGAACTTTGAACAGTTGCTGTTTAACCTCCCTAGTTATGCTGGAACGGAAAGTTACTGCCTCGCGCACACATCCTGCAGCTTTCTTCCCTAACTACACACCGACATTTTCCTGCAACACAAATGACAATCCTCCCCCTTCCAACATGTCACGGGTCACTTCCCTTGCTAAACTTCCCTGCTTTTAATACATTTCATTTTTCTGCATTGTCTTTTACACTGCAAGCCACAGAAATGGCCTCAAGTTGCATGAGGGGAAGTTTAGATTGCACATTCTGAAAACGTTTTTCACGGAAAGGGCTGTCAGGCACTGGAACGGGCTGCCCAGGGAGGTGGTGGAGTCACCATCCCTGGAGGGATTTAAAATACATGTAGGTGTGGTGCTCATCAGGGACATGGTTTAGTGGTGGACTTGGCAGTGTCAGGTTAAGGGTTGGGTTCGATGATCTTAAAAGATCCTCTCTGACCTAAATAATTCTATGATTTCTCCTTGTGACTTAGTTTCTTCCATCAGTGTCATCCTCTACTTCCCATTCACCAAGGTGCTCTTAATCTGAGGTCTGAGGTTTTGGGTTCTTTTTAAATCAGACTGGTTTCGTTTCCTCTCCATAACCAACAGTTTGGATGTTGGTTTTGCACTTTAACCCATCACAGTTTTCTTTCTGGTTTTGCTTTGTGCTTTGCCAGTAAGACATCACTGCAGCCGCCCTTTGTGTGTTTTCTCTCTCCTGTCCCTGCCCATGGGGCTCCCCGTGGCACTGAGACCCTGTGAAACTTTTCTTTAGAAGAAGCGGGTAGAGACCCTGCGGCTTCATTTACTGGCCTGCTCGCAAACCGCAGCCCCGGCACTCCCTGCCACCAGCTTTCGGTTCTGGGTTCAATTCCGCTTCATCCTGCAACCGGTTCCCTGCCGCCGAGCCAGGCCAGCCCCGGGGAGCACAAAAGGCACAGATCCTGCTCCCCAGGCACTGGAACGGACACACGTCTGGGACTGAAAGCAGGGAGGAGAGGAGCCTCGGGAGGCACCGAGAAGAAACAGTGGAGGAGTCCCAGCCTGGGGCAGTGCCAGCCCCTGGCTCCTCGTCCTCCCCCGGCACGGGGACGCAGCACTTGCTGTCACGACATGCGAGGGGCTGCCGGTGCTCCTTGGGGCGATCCCTGAACCTGAGGGCTCAGCTGGCCACAGCTGGAACCCCTCTCCACCCCTTGGGAGGGGGCAGCACCCACCACCAGCTGTCAGCTCCCCCCGCAATATGGGCCCCGGATTATCCATCTTCCCAGCACACCCTCGCACCTCCCAACATGGGAGCAGGGCTGCTGCTCGTGGGAGCGGCACCCTCCCCATGTGATTCACCCGCTCACGCCTCTGCTGTGAAACAGGCAAATGCCACACTAAATTTAAAAAAGGGGAACCCTACGTAGGAGCCGCGAACTGCTCTTGGAGGAGCTCTCCCTCCTGGAGCAAGAGGCCCTCCCGTCCTCCCTGCACCCAAGACATGGCTGCTTCCAGGCGGGGCTGTCCTCGCGCGCTGCGCGATGATAAATCCGGCACGAAAGCCAGAGCGAGCAACAGAAACCTCAGCAAAACCACCCAGTTCAGTAAATACAACTCATGCGGGTGGCCGTACGCAGCTCAGTACGTTACTTGCTGCCTCCGCCTCAGCGAAACCCACGCAACCAGCATGCGGAGCGACGAGTATTCCAGAAATATTTTCTGCATTAGTCTCAGCTGTGGGCTAACCTGTCACCTTGCAGATATTATATATTTCCAAATTAATCCCCAGGATGGCAACACAGTGAAAATGCAGATAAAATACATCCTATGTGCAGAGGACATAAAGTATTAAAGAATATAAAACATTCTTTAGAAAGCTAGCAAGTTTCCCATGTGTCAGTCCAGCGTGTTAACTCCGGCTGTAAGAAATACCGTCTTCTTGAGGCACAGAAAGTGGGGAGAGAAAGGAAACAGCGGCTCTACGAACTATTTCCACCTAAACAAAAGCAGGTACTTGTGGGTGGGAGGGAAGGCAGGTAGGAGCTAAGCCACCAGCGAGGGGTTTCAGTGGGATCCTGTGGCTGAAAAACAGACACAGTGCTTTTCCCATTTCAGAGGGACATAAAAACTTCCTTCTGGCTGGGTTAGCCAGCCATCAAAGCAAAACAAAACAATCCATCATGCAGGGGGAAGCTCTAAGGACAACCCGCCATCCCCAGCTGCGGTCTGCACTGAGGACATACATCAGAAGGTCACCACAGCTTTTGGGGACACTTAAATATGAACATCTGCTCTTGCAAAACACCGATGCTCCTGTCCTACAGAAGCAAGGCTTGGTGGCTCCCCCCAACACCTGACATGTAACATACATAACAATTAAAAATAAAAACAGAACACACTTACGAAGACAGCACTATGGCAACGGCATCATTGAGGACGCTTTCGCCAAAGAGAAGGGCATACAGCTCAACATCAACCTGGAGTTCATGGAATATGGCAAGAACAGTCACTGACAAATAGAAAAATAGAGAGACATTCAAAAAGGTGCCGTTATTTTGGTGTAATCAAAGACAAAATGCCCCTTTTAAAAAAGCTGTCTTCCTGCCACTCTGTTGTGATGGAGCCAGCCAACTCCCATGCTCACAGATTTGGATTTGGTTTATCATTTCCTCCTCTTCCCTTCACTAAAACACACCCTGGGCATTAGGTCTACTGAGTCTTTAATGGGCAGACATGAGCAAACTGCTCTGAGCTTCCTGAGGGTCTGAGCTCGTGGGCTGGACCACGGTACCTCTCTGACACGCACCACCAAGCTTTTGGGATGCTGTTAGCTCAAGCATCAGGGAGAGCCTTCCTCCACCTGCAGAAGGCCAGGAGGATGCAGGCTTGTCCAGGATGATGTCTTTTCCTTCCATCCCTGATACTCAAAGACAAATCCACAGATTCAACACAGGTTGGCCCACTGGAAGTGCCAGCACAGCTGTGTTAACATTTCAGACCCAACTGAAAGAAGCCAGGCATCAGCTCAAACCCCACGTGGGGGTTTCCTGTGATCTACAGCCACACGGCAGAGATCGGAGTACCCTCAAGCCTTTCCACGATCGAGTGGCTCCAAGAAGGTAATGAAAGTGCAGCAGGTTTTGCGCCTTAGCCTTGCAAAAACATCACATCTAAAGCAAGCAAGATGTAACGCATGGTGCATTGTCCAGAGCTCAGGCTGCTGTGGAGGGCTGAGCTAATTCCAATCAACTTCTCTGAAAGTCCTTTAAAACAACATTCAGGGACTCATCTGTGCATACTGAGCCATGGTTAACCCATTTATGCGCAGGGAAACACTCCATTTTTACCTGTGAAATCTTCCTGTTCCTATTTCGAAGCCCAAAGAAGGGATGTGACACGGACAGCTTGTCTGCAGCACCTCTAGGCACTACGTCTACCTATGATCCTTGCCTGGCCTCTGCCACCAGACGTACCACATCGCTGTCACATCTGTGAGGGGCTCCCCGCTTTGCAAATGTGCCCCCTCTCAATGTCAACACCCAGCTAAGTTACAGGGAGGATGCTCGACCCCGCAACCAGGTGGGAACAGCTCCCTGCTAAAGGACCTGGTGGCCTGAACGCACACCCACCCAGGACATGTTCAGAGAAGCTGGGAAATCATTTTAACCTGTTTGGGTTTTTTTAAGTAAAAATATCAGCAGTAATAGCCACCCTAACATCTGGCAAATCTTAGGGGAACATAAAAAATAAATTATTGAAAACTCCTGGGGAATGCACATCTCGCCTCTCCACCTGGCAGACAGATGTGGCTACTGCCACGTTCTGCTGCAGATTACATTCTGCAGCATTATTCTTGCACATCCACAAAACACTCCTCATTTTGCCTTTGAAAACAGAAGTGAAACAGTTAAAATAAGCAGGTAAAAGTCCCAATTCATCTGGACACAACAGCCGCAGGCACCTCTTTCAAAAGGGCAGAAAGACTTGGCTCATCCAGGCGGGCAATCTCTCCCTTCCAAGCAAAACTGACCAGTATCTGGATTTAAAAAGACCTGCCAAGACTAGGGTAGTATCCTGGGGGGGGGTGATACTGCCACCCCCCAGCCCCACCACGCTGGTCTCAAACGTAGTAGCCAGGCTGTAAAGGAAGAAATTCAAGCCCTGTTCAGCAAAGGGCAGGAGGAAAGAGGCTTTTGTGTGGTCTTGTGTTTTTAGGTGAGGTTGGAGCATGCAAATAAACAGCTGCCATGTAAAAAAAAATTGTGAACTAAGTAAAATTCAGTAGGACAAGTCATGATTTTCATAGTTTTGGTTTATAAAGGGCATGACTAGACCAAGATGTCACTACTGTCCTCAGTACTGCGCATTAAGATCAACTTCCAATTCGATTAGCACTTTCCAAAATCCCACCCAAATAAAAGTGGAAGAAAATCCCAAACTAACTAAAACTATCAACTTATCCCTCCCCATATTACACATCTTGTTCTGCACCAACTGTTGGCAGAGGGTGGCAGAGACACAGTGAACCTGTCCCAGAACCCAGTGAAGTCAAGAGAGAGACCGTCTAGGACTTTACTGCAAACAAAGGTTCAGGAAAGCAGAGGTTTGGAAGGTGTATCACACGTAACTGGAAGGAAATAAAAAGGCATGGAGACAAATTTGACCTCTAAGAACGTCACAAATAAATTAAACTCCAAAATTCAGAAGGAGGGAACTTGCAGGGGTTTCAGACTTTCTCCCCCTCTTCACCACAACTCAAACCAGATGCAAATGTAGGTAAAACGAGGGAAAAACCAACCGTCTGACATACCTGGGTCAGTAGCCGACACGATGGCACCGAACAGAAGGCAGTCAGTGAAGTAGAAGTCTCCCCCCAGCTGCCCAGTGACTTTCATCAGCGCCACACAGCCATACACGACAGAGCTGGTCATTAGAAGAGGCAATTACTCATCTCTGCAGTTCATTAAAACGACATCCAAATGTGTTCGATTCCCCTGAATTTGCCAGATTAACCTCTAAAGTTATCCAAAAGCATGAACACCGAAGAACTGTTCTGCATGAGCTGAGACTGGTGAAACCCCAGGACCGTGCACACCAAAGCACCCACCGTGCCAGACCACAAACACAGTGTGGTGAGGAACTGGGACCAAAACTCCTTCAGGAGCATAACATGGCCAAAGAAAAGCAGCAGCCAGGCTCGTGAGGTCTTGTGATCACTTTGCCATGGTTTCCATTAACACATTTCAGTGGCATGACCTTGACCTCACTTTGAAATGGCTGAAACTCAGTGAGGAACAGATAATACGGATGCTGAGTTTGCTTGAATCCACCGGACTCTCCAGTGGAAAACACCCTACGCCAGCCTGCACGCTACTATTCAGAGCAGGAATCATCTAGCTCCCTCTGCACAGGGAGATAAATAATTTGAAACACAATCTGCACTCACTGGGCACCTGCTTCCAGCAAGTAAGGACAGGACGTGTTTACAGTCCTGCCCCTCCTGTGTCTCACTCTTGCTAGGGCTGGGTGTTCAGTAGCCTGAAGCTACTGCCTTTTTTTCAAGACAACCTTGAGAGAAGTGTGAGACTTTCCTTGCTGTGTATGTAAATACTCCGTATGGGACACAGAGAAAGCACTACACAATTAGACTGCATCCACCCCGAGCACACAGCAAAAGTTGGGGCAGTAAATAGTATTATTTGCCACTGCCAAGCAGCGGTAGCAGAGAGCCTGTGTGATCGTTCAGGGCTGGGATTAGTGGCCACAGCTCTGGGCTCAGGGCACTGACTCCCAGCACAGCTCAAACGCCCACAGAAGAACCAGACCGGCTCCAGCTACTCACCCAATCACCAGGCAGGAAATTGCAGTGCCGAGAAAAGCGTATGCTAGGATGGATCCCAAGTTTCTGAAGAAGTGCCTCTAGAAGAGGAGAAGGAAAAAAAAAAACCCACTTAATTACATTTTCCTAACAATTTATTTCAAGCCTGCACAGGCACCCACACAGTGGCCGTAGCACCTTGTCCAGCTTGCGGTGTCTGAGCTAGGTCCAAGCACGGCTGGACAGTGCCCAGCACCACGCTGTACACTGCCAGACCAGCAGATGCTAACGCAGCATTCATACACATGAGCATAACGTTTTCTTGTACCCCTGTATTTAACAAGGTGCTGTTCCAAGTCCTGGGAACCGATTTCCTAACCCAGCAGCATTCCTCCTCCTTTCTCCCGCAAGCTAAACAGGATAATTTTCCTCTCCTTCCAAATCAGCATTTCAGAGAGCTGCTGATGTCTAAAACCTTCCCACCCTCCTATGAGCTTTGAGAGCAAGGATGGCTGAAATGGCCCAGCTGACCCGAAAAACCCCTACGCAAACCTGTGCTGGAACTGGCTGAAGTTGCTGACCCTTCCTGGGGCAGAGGGACGGACGAGACTGACTGGGGCACTCCCAACCCTGCTTCCTACAATCCCACATGTACTGGGGAAAACTGGACTCAGCTCCGCAGCCCAGGCCTGCTGAGCAAGCACTAAAGCACTCTCAAGTATTAAAAATGCTCTGGAGGCAGGGGAACTAAAAATGTAGGTGCTGTAAAGGCACGTACCCTTTTCAAGCTGTAGCCTGCATAAAATATAATTGGAGGAAGCAAAATGTTGAAAAATACCTCAGGATCAAAAGTCACCTGTTAAGAAAAAAAAAAAAAAGACAAGAGTAAAATGGTTTGTTAAGACTTTGCAAGACAAAACACAAAGAAGAATGTGATGTAAAACGTATGGAGGAAAACCTGTACCCCCGCCAGATGAAACACTGTCGGGTTAACGCTGAGGATGTGTCTGGGATCTTTTGGAGACACAGCCCAGGGTCTGAACAGCTTAAATTAAGATCAGCTGAAACTAGAGTTTCATTACATGGTGTTCAACTTGTAATTTATAGCTCATCATAATCTGACTAAAGTTTAAATAAATAAACAAATAAATAAATTTAATTAGCCCGTCCCCATGGAGGGAGTGGGGAGCATCACTCACCTCCCCCATCACCGACTCCCTTACCTTTCTCAGCATCTCATTATCCTGGACGTTATTGAGCTCCTGGGCACTGATCTCTCCCTTCAGGGTGTACTCGTAGTACTTCCCGCTGACGTTCACCAGCAGCGTGGCGGGACTGGTCTGCACTTGGCAGCTCAGGGTCACGTTGTTGACGTCGCTGGGAACGTGGATGCCGTAGCGCAGGACCACACCGACCAGGACCCCTGGGGAGGGACGTGTGTGGGTGAGACAAGCTGTGGTAAACCCTGGCATCACCTCTCTCAGCTGGGATGCAGCACCAGGCACACCAGGATCCTGACCCTCTGCTCAGCTGCTGAGCACAACCACCACCCAAATAACTGCCCGTGCAATAGGTAACCATCGCATCCTTCCATGAGCCACGCAAACGCTCCGTGCTCCTGCTGATCTTCTAACACCAGCCATGGACTGCTTTTAATTACCCAGCAATCAGTCAGACCCTCGCACTAGTGCAGCCAACGGCCGGCGTCGAGGGCATGCTGGTTTTCTCAGGGCAACACTCTGGTGTTGCTGGCACACAGCTGGGGACCTGGGCAAGGCACTGCTCACGTGTGCCCAAACTGCACGTTGCACCTGGAAACCCGATGGGATCATGTTTTGACACTACAGAAATACATTAAACGCTTAATTTTGGTAGGGGATGAGAATCAGTACCCAGCAACCCTCAGGAATGCTTTGAGGATGCGAGCATCCTTCCTAAGATGCTGCAGCACCGTACAGCCCCCTCCTGCATCAGGGAGCTTTCACAGCACGCAGCAGCGATCCCCATTTGATAAAAAATGTGGAAGTTCTGCTTTCGAAGCCAACCACCTGGGTCTGCTCCTCGGCCCCGGCGAGCTTCAGCCCTGCACCACGAGCAGCAGCCCAAGGGCAGCCCGGTGAGCCGACGCTGCCTCCGGCTCAGCCTCCACGCAGGAGTATCGTGGCGTTAATTTTACGTTTGCAGCACAGCTGATGAGCTGTGCTCTGAGGTCTCGCATCCAGACTAACGGCATTCGCACGCCACAGGCTCCTCCGGCTCCTTCTCACCCGCATGGTGTGCTGGGTGCTCTCCTGGCAGCGCTTCCTGACTTCCGCAGGACTGGGAGGAGGGATGTCCCACGAGACACCTTTCCATATAGCCTCCAGCACTAAAGGGTTTGCAAACTCCTCAATTAAGGCAGCTCTGAGCTGCCACAGAAATCCTGGATCTTAAGCCCATCGCCGAACCACACATCTGTGAAAGCTTTCAGACACGTGGGAACTACACGGAGACTGCAACACTCAGAAGGCTTCTCCATTTGCCTCCCAGGATGCTCCCACTTCTTTACCGCTGCCTCAATTAAGATCTTGCTCTGTGCTTTCCTACGGGCAGGGTACAACCCCGACCAACGGGAACACCAAACTCTCCCTCTGCTGCCATCTCACAGGAGCAGGAGCTCTGCCATGGCCGGGCAGGAGGCTGTGGGTCCTCAGCACATTCAGCATCTCCTGCACCCAGTTTGCTGCCCAGTTTCTGTCTTCTCTTCCCTGACAGTTTTCCAGGATGAGATTTGATTATTTCGCCAACGGCCTGAAGAAAAGCCCCCACCTCCCATCCCAGGGGATGCCATGCACAGCAGGGCCACCCAAGCACACACCCAGGCCTCGAGCGGAGGCAGAAGACTCACCGCCGCTAACTCATCACACCAGTGACACAGATGGCTCAGCGCAGGGACCAGGCTGACAGACCCGGGCGCTGCACACAAAACCCAGTCCCTGGGCCAATCCGGCACATCTGCAGCACAGCTGGGCTGCTCTCACGCACCTACCGGTGTTTTTAAGTCATGTGCAGGCAACTGGTCTCACCAGGTGCTTTGGGCGTTACCCTGTGCTGCACCACTGGTGCAGGATTGCCCTGACACTAACAGAAGTCTCTCGGCGCACAGCCAGCACGGTCAGCTCCAAGGAGAGCGGCTTCAGGGAGCATCACACTGTGCAGAGCATCCGAGAGCTGCTTCTACACCCGCATCACTAAGAGGGGACACCAAAGTTTTGCTTGCTTCTCTGCTAGCCTTAGTTCCTGTGATCTTCCAGTGCTCCAGAAACAAAAGTATGGAAGCAAAGACAACAGCGTCAAGAACACCGAGAGGCCACAGCACGTATTCACATGAGCACGTGGCAAGGAGGGTGCATAGCACCGCAGCATCGGGGCAAAACACCCAGGTTTCACCCAGAACTTGATGACCCCTGAGGTACCATGGGAGACAACCAAAACTCTTCACTGGGATACAGTGAGCTTCAAAAAAGAGTTACTTACATCTGCTCATGACTATTAAGCAGCTTTAAACAGTTACAGTGAGAATTCAAATGAAAGGGAGGAAAGCCAGACTGGAGAGCTCGTTTACCCTCTACGCTTGCAACTGCTGCTCCACTCCGAGGGAGCAGGCAGCACCGGGTACGCCGCGCTCCGCAGCCCTCTGCGGCTACCTGGGGTGGCTTTTGAAAAGGTTGATTTTAGAGCTTCACACAGGTGTCGGAAATCTCCAGCAGAAGGTGATTGCCTTTTCCCAGATGGAAACCCATCCAATGACCCCTTTAACGCCCTGGCTCAGCACTTTGAGATGAGAGCTCCTGCAGGAGGAAGAAGGGGCGGATGGACGGACGGATGTCGCTGCTGGGAATTCAGATGGGATCCTGACTCACGCGCCTGCGGCTCTTAATCCCCGTCCCAAAGCAGCGCTACATCTGATAGCACCCCGCTCCTCCTCACCGTCTCGCTTACCCGGGCAGCTGTTCCTTGGCCCCACGTGCCAGCCATGCTCCAGCCGCAGCCAAATTCCCACTTTGGCCAGGAACGGGATGAGGGAAAAGGGACAGCTAAACTCCCAAAATGAGTCATTTTGTCCTGCCCTGTCACATGCCTCCTGGGAGGCTCCCAGGTCTCCAGACCAGGGTGGGAAGAGACGCCCACGTGCACATCCACATCCACACAAAGAGCTCCTGGGCACCGAGTGTGAAGCAGCCAGAAGGGTGCCAGTGGCTCTGGCACAGAGATACCATCCAGCTCCCAGCACAGGGATACCACCTGAGTTACTGACGGGGAAAGCGTACTGCTGCTCTGCTGAAGGCCAGCTGTCCTGCCAACATTAGGATGACCCCACCACTGGCCCCTCCTGCCCCACAGCACATCTCTAATCAACCCTCCCCCACCTAATGATGCTCGCTGGAGGCATTTGGGACAAACCCGACTTGGATGCCACAGTCCTCCAGACACCAAACCCAGTCTTGGGCTCAGGCTACCTGGCCCAAGCCCAGGGGACTGCGTAGGTCCTCCTGGTCCTGACGGTCTCTTAGGAAATGGTTCAAACTCTGTTGCCGCTCGAAGGGCTGTCCTGGCAGCAACCGTGAACCGCTGCTCCACCAGTATCAACATGCTTTGGCAGCCAAAAGTTTTACAAAACCGAGCCCTGGGAGGGAGCAGAGCAGAGGGAACCTGACACCAAGGAAGCTGCCAGCCAAAAGCTGCAAGAAGTAGAGAGGCTAAAGGCAAAACTGGTAAATTAATTGAGTTCTTTCATGCAAAGTGCAAGAGATTATTTTCATTGCATTTCTCCCAACTTCATTAAAAAGAACAAAAGCCCATGGGCTTTTTTTTTTTTTTAGGTGCTGTTGAACATTTCCGAGGTAAGGTTTTAAATGAAGACTAATATATTGCCATCCAGGCACTTAACAACAATGGAAGCACACAGGATCCTCAGGCGAGCGTTAATCCGGACACCAAAAGGAAAGAAAAATGTAGCGAGCAACTGAAGACATTCTGACAACAAGCAATTTAGACAGACGCAATCCAGAGGCCAAGTGGGAACAAGTACAGGGAAACTAAACGTGTAGAGAAGCTCCTGCCACATCCACCGCCAGCCCCTGGGAAGAACTGAAACGAGATTGTTCAATTAATCATCCTAAATGTTAAGCACCTCGGATACAGGAACCTCGTTTTCAATGCTGAAATGAAGCTTAGAGGCTACTAAACACCTATTGTCTACCACCATGAAATGACTCCAGCCTGTGTCCAGCTCCTGAGTATCAGCTCTGAGCCAACAGCGTGATTTTTAAGATAAATCCACCCAGAGCAAGAGCTCATAACTTACAGTAAAAACCGAGACACCAAGGAAACTGATATATTTCAGCAAGGAGACACGTATGCAAAAGTTTTGACTTAGTTGTTGGTGTTTTTTCAATTAGAAAAAGACAAACTTTCACCAATTGCTTCTCTTGCCCAGATTTCGGGGTCTGTTTTGCAGCCTGCCTGCCGCAGCACTTCCACATTTTCAGCAGAGTTCGCCGTGGCTGAAAGCATGGCAGAGGGATGGGGACAGCAAAGCAGAAGTGGTACCTGCGTTGCTTCCTGCAGCTTTTAAGTTGTCGCTGTAAAACAGCAGCATCTCACCACTCCTTGGGAAATTACACATCCCTTTTCCTACAGCAGCTCTCACAACCGGAGAAGCAAATGCCAAAAGCCTTGGTAGCAGGAAAAAACTCGGGATTTTCTGCATGACCAGACAGGTGACGTTACCAATTTTGCCAGCAACTCTCTAAGCGCAGTCTGCAAAAGAGCAGACAGAAAAGATGTGTTTTACGGATCGGCAGGAGTCCGAAACGACCTGAGTCGTGCTCTGAGAACAAGGGGAGCACACAGGTGCGTCAGGGAGAATGGAGGACCAAGAGGAAGAAAACTCCAGGAGGGAGAGAACAAGGTTAAGGACAAGTTTGAAAGCATGAAAAGAACAGCAAGTCCACGTGTCGGCAAGCTCCAGGGCAGCAGGAGAAGCAAGACCTTCCGTGCTGGAAGCACGTGCTCCCCCAGCTCAGCTCCCATCCGGGGAGGTGAGCACCCCTGCCCCGGGCAGGAGGTCACAACGCCTGCACTCGCCTCAGCGGTGGCTCGCAGGAGCTGAAAAGGCAGACCAGTATTTCGTGCCTCTGGGCTGACGCAAGCCTCTCCACCCCTTCGTTTGCAAGGACACTTCCAATTAACTGAAATTTGGGATCACAAAAGCCAACGGCCCCAAGGGGTGAGCGGCAGCCTCCAGAGCAAAGCTTTCTGCTGGGCGGGGGACTCGGCCACGCCGCTGCTCTGACCGCGCTTGGTCCTGCATCACCCTCAACCAGCAACGGCTGGGACAGCGCAGAGACGCTAACTACAGCTCTCAGCAGAAGACACCTTTTCTATCCTAAACTCGATCTTGCCTAGATAAGGACCCGTGGCCACGTAAATCACTCCCCCGGCACAATTCCCAGTCCTCCTTTGGTTGAACTCCCAAGCCACGTGAGAGAACCCGGGCAGAGTCACACTGGCATCTCCATACGGCGGGTCAGGCCACTTGGCGAGGCCAGGTCACCTCAGTAAATCACTGTTAAAATCCAACCAGCTACGAACCCGCTCCCCCGGCCCACGGCCTCGCTCCTCTCTTGCAGGTACACACGGGGCGTCTCACCGAGAGGTTCTGTCACAGCAGGAGGAGGAACCCCAAAAGCAGGAGCTCGTGCGCACAGGTCCCATGGGCAGCAGGACGTACGGCTGCTGG